CTGCCACTCCATGCGCCAAACGTTTTTTTTTTTTTTTTTTTTTCCCCTGCCTGTGCATACATAGACACATAGGCTAGAAAACAGGGGCGTTTAGAGGCAGAAAAAAAAACACCAGATGCCCCCCCCTAAGAGCAGCATGAAAAATGTCCATCGTGTATATGGCTGAAGTCCCCAACTATGGAGAATATATAGAAATACACCAAGTGTGCTGGGGATCGCCTTTGTATTGTTTTGTATGTTTCACTCCTTTTTTCCAGTTTCAAACTGACCAGAGTAGCTGCCATTGTTGCTTTCTTGTATGCAGTGTAGACACTCACTGGAAGTCTTCAGCCGCCTTTGTAGAGGTGATATCTGGGCTTCTGGTGTGTTGCTGTAGCTTTTAGGATAGAGCTGACTCCAGGGGAGCCTGCTTCATTGTTAGGGACTCGGTTTGTGTTAGGGACCACAATTATCAGGGGCCCTTGGCATGGTTGCATTGCTTCAATCTGCAATTGCAAATGCATACTAAAAAATCTTCTGTGTTTAGCGTGAGTAATTGAGACATTTTAGGCTTTTTTTTTTTGCTGGCTAGCTTAATTCTGTTTGGGAACCTTTTGCATTTATTACACAAAGGGCTTGTGCACCGTAGCAGTTGAGGCGGTAATACTCTGCAGTTGAGCCATGTTTTTTTCCACCCTCCCAACTCCCCCCCCCCTTTAGCTGAAGATGCAGTGGCAGGGGGTTACAACAGTTGTGTCCCCAGTGCTGCAGGAGTGGTATCCCCAGGGGTGTATTTACCACAAGGCATTTGCCTAGGGCGGCATTATTCAGGGGGGCAGCTGCTTTTTTCAGCAGGCAGTACCATCCCCTGAAAGAAGGAAAGGAAGAAGGGACACACGCAGCACAGGGATCTGAGAGAGGCTGCGGGCTGTTAATGGTGTTGGCAAAGCCTGACTCTTGTTCCAGGGGATTTCTGGAGCTGTGAAGGTGAGTGTCTTATCTTTTGCCGGAGTGGGAGGGCATTTTGCCAGTGTATGGGGGGCGGTGGTAGTAAAAGCCTCCTCTCTCAGATGGGGGGGCCTGGGGTGTTGTTGGTCAATGTACGGCTCTCTTCGTGGGGGAGAGGGGGTGTTGGTCGATGTCAGGGTCTCTCCGTGGGGGGGGGGGCAATTTTTGTGTTGCATACGGCAACACGAAACCTAAATACACCATTCATCCAACTGTGTGTATTGCATGTGGTTACGCTGCAAAGGAGCGGGGTCCAGGGGGTCAAAACAGGCGGTGAGGAGGCCTGTCAAATGCTCTCCGAAGATTGATCCGAACACAGATCGGATGGGGATGGAGATTGGTGTCAGGATAGAGAACGGGGAGGGCTGGTAAGCATGTCATGTTTATCAACCCCTTCCTAGATGAACACAGTGAGCAATTGGTACCCCTCTACTTAGTGTGCACAAGGGTACCCCCAGGTCTTTTGCAATCCTAGCAAAACCCCTGGCACAGTGAAGACCATGCCCACTCTTCACTATGGTATACCAAGCACACCACTTCTTTTTTTTTTTTTTCTTGGGAAACAAAGAGGCACAACATATGGTCTTGCACACGTGTCCACTGGTTTCATAAAAACGCCTCTGCCCCCCCCCCCCCCCCACCTGTGACTGGACGGCAAAAGGAGGAGCAGCACAGTGATGAGTTCTTCTCTTTGCTACTCTGCTCTCTCCTCCTGTCATATTATAACTTGCACAGCAGCACAATTGATTAACTTCTTGTGCTGCTTTTCCTTCTGTCAGCCTGAGCTCTGCTGTACAGGGTCTGCAAGAGGCTGATACCAGGTCAAATGTAGATACTTACACTTCATTAAAAAATATGAATGTGGTGATGTATTACAAAATATAGAGCTGCATTAATCTGTGTCTTTTTTATTTGCTTGGAGTTTAGCTTTAACAAATGAGATGAGTGAGACCTAACTGGTATTACATATACTTGAAATAACCCCCAGTGCTAACATCCATGTCCTTATGGTGTCCTGATATGTCACTGCCTCTATGCCTGTCAAGTGGTAGGAAACCCTCTTCCTTGATTTTCACCTCTAGGATAAATACAATAAAGCTTGCCTGTAGCTAAAATGAGTATCTCCTAATAGCCATTTAGGACAGGGGTCTCCAAACTTTTCAAACAAAGGGCCAGTATACTGTCCTTTAGATTTCAGAAGGGCTGGATTAGGGCCAGCGAGGATAGAAAATGTCCTGGCCCCAGCATCAGTGAGAATAAACATGGCCGCAGGGTTGATGGTCAGTAGGAGGAGTAGCGCCCCATCATTGGTAATAGTGGGAAGAATAGTGCCCCATCATTGGTAATAGTGGGAAGAATAGCACCCCATCATTGGTAATAGTGGGAAGAATAGTTCCCCATCATTGGTAATAGTGGGAAGAATAGCACCCCATCATTGGTAATAGTGGGAAGAATAGTTCCCCATCATTGGTAATAGTGGGAAATAGCACCCCATCATTGGTAATAGTGGGAAGAATAGTTCCCCATCATTGGTAATAGTGGAAGAATAGCACCCCATCATTGGTAATAGTGGGAAGAATAGCGCCCCATCATTGGTAATAGTGGGAAGAATAGCGCCCCATCATTGGTAATAGTGGGAAGAATAGCGCCCCATCATTGGTAATAGTGGGAAGAATAGCGCCCCATCATTGGTAATAGTGGGAAGAATAGCGCCCCATCATTGGTAATAGTGGGAAGAATAGCGCCCCATCATTGGTAATAATGGGAAGAATAGCGCCCCATCATTGGTAATAGTGGGAAGAATAGTGCCCCATCATTGGTAATAATGGGAAGAATAGTTCCCCATCATTGGTAATAGTGGGAAGAATAGCGCCCCATCGTTGGTAATAGTGGGAAGAATAGCTCCCCATCATTGGTAATAGTGGGAAGAATAGTGCCCCCATTGGTAATAATGGGAAGAATAGCGCCCCCGTCATTGGTAATAGTGGGAAGAATAGCGCCCCATCATTGGTAATAATGAGAAGAATAGCGCCCCATCATTGGTAATAGTGGGAAGAATAGCGCCCCATCATTGGTAATAGTGGGAAGAATAGCTCCCCATCATTGGTAATAGAAGAATAGTGCCCCATCATTGGTAATAGTGAGAAGAATAGTGCCCCATCATTGGTAATAGTGAGAAGAATAGCGCCCCATCATTGGTAATAGTGGGAAGAATAGCACCCCATCATTGGTAATAGAAGAATAGCGCCCCATCATTGGTAATAGTGGGAAGAATAGCGCCCCATCATTGGTAATAGAAGAATAGTGCCCCATCATTGGTAATAGAAGAATAGTGCCCCATCATTGGTAATAGAAGAATAGCGCCCCATCATTGGTGATAGTGAGAAGAATAACGCCCCATCATTGGTAATAGTGGGAAGAATAGTTCCCTATCATTGGTAATAGTGGGAAGAATAGCGCCCCATCATTGGTAATAGTGGGAAGAATAGTGCCCCATCATTGGTAATAGTGGGAAGAATAGTGCCCCATCATTGGTAATAGTAGGAAGAATAGTGCCCCATCATTGGTTTCAATGGAAGAAGTACTGCCCCATTGTTGGTCTCAGTGGGAGGAATAGTGCCCCAAAAGCCGGATAAAGGGTAGTAAAGGGCCACATCCGGCCCTCGGGCTGCAGTTTGGAGACCCCTGGTTTAGGAGCTATTCCACCTAGAAGCAACCAGTGACGTTCCTTCAGTGCTGTGCACAGGAGTGATGTCATTGCGGCTTGGCCAGTCAGGTGGCCAGAGCCTGCGAACTCGGAAGAAAGATAAAGATGGAAGCCCTGTGAGCGGTGAGAGCGTGCCGCCGGAAGGCTTCATTTTGAGGTAAGTATTTGATGATGTGCTAGTATGCGATGCATGCTAGAACGTTATGATATTACCTTGCAGGGGGAATTTTTATTTTTTTTTCTTTAGAAGTTTTACTACCGCTTTAATGCAATGGTTGTCTGCTAATGAGCTAAAGGGGACTTGAAATACACCCCTGACATCACCACAGCCTGCACATAATGTTCAATATATGTAATGCTTGAAAGAACTGCCAGAAACTGAGGAAATGCGGGTCAGAGAGTGTGGACAGGATATATTTGTGATTGGGGATAGCTGCAGAAGACAATTTGAAACTGGGAACATGAGGCTAGTAAAGATCAATACTATTACCCTAATCAATGTTCCCACTACAGACTGCGGAGGTCAAGGGCCACACATTATATACCAAAGGGCCACATGCAGCCCTCGGGCCACAGGTTGGGCACCAGGTCTTTAGTGCGCCAGAGACCCCCTCAATGGTGACGGTAGGGATGACTGATCCAGAGTTGGCAATGTAAGCTGCAATATTTCAATCCGAAAAGACGAATGCCCCATACACGCGATAAGAATGTTGACCAAAAGATTCCTTTTTTTTTTATGTTGGTCACCATATTGAAAATGAAACCGTACTTAACTTTTGAAAATTTTCATACAAAAGAAAAAAAATCCAAAGTGAAGTAATGTATTGTATTTGCTTTGTATTTTTGGACAACTACCATACTGTTTAACCCCTTGCCTACAGGGCACTTCTACCCCCTTCCTGCCCAGGCCAATTTCCAGCTTTCAGCGCTGTCACACTTTGAATGACAATTGCGCGGTCATGCAACACTGTACCCATATGAAATTTTTATCATTTTTTTGTGACAGATCTTTCTTTTGGTGGTATTTAATCACCTCTGGGTTTTTTATTTTTTCTTAAACAAACCAAAAACCACTGAAAATATTGAAAAAAAAGTTTTTTCTTAGTTTTTGTTGTAAAATTTGTAAATAAGTGATTTTTCTTCTTCACTGATGTGCGCTAATGAGGCTGCAGTGATGGGCACTGATAGGCTGCACTGATGAACACTCATAGGTTGCACTGATGAGGAGGCACTGATGGGCATTGACAGGCATCCCTGATGGGCACTGAAAAGCAGCACTCATATATGGCACTGATATATGGCACTGTTAGGTGGCACTGACTGGCACTGTTAGGCAGCACTGACTGGCACTGTTAGGCGGCACTGATGCGCACTGACTGGCACTGATAGGTGGCCCTGATTGGCAGCACTGAGAGCTGGCACTGATGGGTGACACTGAAAGGCAGCTCAGATGGGCACTGATATGTGGCATTGATGTGGCACTTATGGGCACTGGCATGTGGCACTGTTCAGCACTGACAGCTGGCACTGATGGACACTGACAGGTGGCACTTCTGGGGCCACACTGATCATCAGGGCACACTGATGATCAGTGCCTTGTTGATCAGTGTACATGTCCCCTCCGCGGAATGCCGATTACCGGCTCTCCTCTCGAGCTGTCAGCATGACAGCTCGTGAGGAGAGAAATGCCTATAACCGGCATTTCCCTGTTTACATGTGATCAGCTGTGATTGGACACAGCTGATCACATGACCGAGCCGACATCTTCGGCTCTTTCCATAGATCGGTGATCCACTGTGTCCGAGGGACACAGTATACCGCCGATCGCCGCGCTGCGCGCTCCCTAAGCTGCGCATGCGCGGTGAGAATGGTAGGATGTCATACGACGTCCTCCCAGAATGAGAGAACCACCTTGTGCCTGTCATTGGACTATATGGCGGGCGGGAGGTGGTTAAACGAAAATCGTACAAGCTGGTATTGTACGAGAAACATTTTTGCACTTATCCCTTAAGAGATTGTCTCATGAATTTTCGTGATCGGCTCTTGAAAGCTGTGTGATAACGATCAGATTATCGGACGATTGGTCCTCCTTTGAAAATTTCCATACGACCATAAAGTGCTAGAGGACAACTCCACCTATAAGTAGAATATCAATGTTGGGAATCTTTGACCTTTCACACTAGGGATCACACATTCATAGCCCTGTCTGGTACATGGGTAGGTACTGGAAAAAATATTTATCACAGTGACTGACAATGCCGCTCCGAAAACAAGCCTGGGTTTTCATAAATCTCCGCAGCAAAAGGAGAGCCCAGCTGTGGCATCCCTCCTCCTGGTGATTGACAGCTGCCCTCTCCAGCTAGAGACCAACTGTAAATATCCTATGATTAATGCCCCCACTATAAATGCATCTATCATTTATCTCCCTGAGATCCTATGCCAAGGCCCATCTACTTAACTCAACCTGCCGGTAATAAATATCTCATCAGGCGGCTGCACATGTAATAACTCTGGAAATTATTACCGATCTCCTGACCAGGAGGAGAGGCGAAAATTGCTGCCCATATATCACTATCGCCGGTATTGACAGGGGCCAACTGCTCAGAATAACTCCATGCCACCCTTTATTACCTGCACGAGGACGAGGACATCTTATTTAAATATGATCTGGCCCACACTGGAAACCTCAGTTCATAAATCGTGTGAGGACCTGTCATCGCTCCGAGCTTGTACACTAGAAGAGTACATAGCAGGGATATTAAAAATCGAAATCCCCAAAACAACTATTCCTAAACTAAAATTAAAGTAGATGTAAGCCCAATCACTAAATTGTGAGATTTCACATATTAAAGTGGTGTTAAACCCAAAAGCAAGCATTCCTGCAATATAGTGCAGGATACCAATTCTTAGATGTGATGGCTGTATCCGTTTTCTTTTTTTAGGCTTTCCTTCCTTTTATGTTCTCCTGGTGATCCAGCCAGCAAGTCTGTACATTCTGAAAAGAACAAGCTGTCTTGCAGATGTATCAGTTACAGGGTTAAACCCAAAAGCAAGCATTTCTGCAATATATTGCAGAATACCAATTCTGAGATGCAATGGCTGAATCAGTTTTCATTTTGTTTTTGCCTTTCTTTCTTTTATGTTCTCCTGGTGATTCAGCCAGTAAGTCTGTTAATTCACAATAGAACAAGCTGTCTTGCAGATGTATCAGTTATAGGGTTAAACCCAAAAGCAAGCATTTCTGCAATATATTGCAGGATACCAATACTTGGATGTGATGGCTGCATCAGTTTTCTTTTTTTAGGCTTTCTTTCTTTTATGTTCTCCTGGTGATTCAGCCAGTACGTCTGTTAATTCTAAAAAGAACATGCTCTCTTGCAGAAGTATCAGTTACAGGGATGAGACAAACCACATACCACTGATATTGGTGCTTACAATGATCAGCTTTTACTTATATACTGTATGTAAAACCTTTATCCCAAAGGAACAAACTACTTGCTGTAACTGCCTATAAAGTGTGAGCTGGAGTTTGACTTTAATTTGTTAGTGTATCTAAGTCTGCTAGTACATTTAACACTCCCCCCCTGACTTTCAATGCTGCTGTCTGTTGTGCCACCTGTTCTCCTTCATTCAGAGTAGGGAGTGCTCTAATACAGGAGTTGTACTGGCCAGATCACCTGGTAAAAACGAGGGAAAAAAATCCTCAAAACGAATGCAGCTACCATATCTAATGATTGGCAAGCTGCAATATATTACATGTTTGATTTTGGGTTTAATGCAACTTTAAATCTGCAGGTTTCATAAAAATAATACCCGCTGATCCTGCCTTGACGGTCCTTGTTCAGGCACTTCCTGTTATGGGGTGACACTGCTTTGCCTTCCAACCATGCTTCTACATTGTCACCCTGTCACACGTATCCCTGGTGGAGACTACCACATTTTCCTGGCATGGCCCACTGTTTCTTGTAGCCAGTCTGGAGCAATGATGTGTAGCTGATGCTGGATATGCAGGAACAGTCCCACAATTTCAGACCATGGTCCTGATGATGCTGTGGCAACACAGGAGTACAGTTGGAAGACGCCAGAACGTTGTCACCCTCTAAAAGGAAGTGCCTAAACAAAGACCTTTATTACGGGATCCATAAGAATTACAATATTTTAATGAAAGCTGCAGATTTCAGTCATTTCAGTTGATACAGTGGGGTTGATTTACTAAACCTGGACAGTGCAAAATCTGGTACAGCTGTTCATGGCAGCCAATCAGCTTCTAACTTCAACTTGTTCATTTAAGCTTTGGCAATAACCCTCCATTCACATGAAGTCCGACTTTGAAATCATGTCTCTTACAGTGAAGTCGCATGATTTCACAATTGGGGGACCCTCCGATTTAGTGCACGTACTACTTTTCAAATCAGTGTGGCTCCGACCAAGTCAGAACAGCACCGATATGACCGTTCCAATTGCAGACAATAGGGTGTGATTTGGCATGCAATTTGCAAGTCGCAGGGCATGCAAATCGCATGCCAAGTTGCATCAAGTGTGAACCAGGGCTAAAACCTGGAAGCTGATTGGTTTCTATGCAGAGCTGCACCAGATTATTCACTCTGGGATGATTGCTGGGATGATTTTTTTTTTACTCACTAGGGGGAGATCCTTTGGGGGATTCCCGGACAGAAAAAAATCTGGGGGTCCTAGTAGCTGCTGCAAATAAAGCCAACAGACTATTATTATGCACTAAAAAGGGGATTTACTCAAGAGATAAAACTAATTCTACCACTTTATAAAACTCTTATAAAGCATCTTGAGTATGCCATCCAGTTCTGGTCAACATGTCCTCAGGAAGGATGTGCTGGAACTGGAAAGAATCCAGAGATGGGCACAAAGCTAATAAGGGGGGACCTCAGTTACGGGGAACAACTACAAACTATATATTTATTGTCCTTGGAGAAGAGATGCATAAAGCATAACTAAAGGCAAAACTTGTGGACAGAGTGGAGATGGATTAGAACCCCTGTCAGTTTTTATTGATCTCTGTGCCCCCGTTAGGGAGATTCCCCCTCTCTGTTTGTCCTGTTTACTATTATTATTGAAAGTAAAGGAAAATTCCAAATTTTGGGTTGTTCCCAGAAAAGTAATGGAGGGGAAATCTTCCGGTGGGGTCCCCAAGCGATTCCCTTACTTTGTTTGGATTTTCTATCACTTCCTGTTTTGGCTTTGGGACAAGAAGTGAAAGTAAATCTCCCCAATGGGACAAAGATGGCAAAATTTTACCTTAGAGGGGTTATAACCCTTCCTTAATTTATCTAAAATTTAGGAAAAAAAAAGTTTTGGTTTTAGTTCTACTTTAAGGGGAGATATGGATATACAAATATCTCAATCGTGGTTCTAGCATATGGAGAAACTATTCAGTCTCGGGTCGCTTAAGAAGACAAGTGGCCACTCAATGAATTTAGAAAAGAAGTGGCGTAACCTTATACTGGGTAAGGGGTTCTTTACTGTTAGAGTGGTCCGGATGTGGAAATCCCTTCCACAGTTGGTGGTGTAAGTGGGAAGTGTCGATGATTTAAAAAAACGACCACAATGTACAGAGATATGGGAAATGGTGACATAAACCCACACCCACCTACACAGGGTGAACTGGATGGACTGGTGTCTTTAATGATCCTTACCAACTATGTAACTTTCTGTATGTGAGAGAAAATTCTGCTACTGCAGTGGGCAGCTTACCCACTGATTGCAATATGTTGGATCATGTTTGCTGCAGGCAAGAAGCAAAGCATTGCATCTGTGGCAGGTGACATCCCCCCCCCCCCCCCCCACCACCATATTCACTGCCATTGCAGCTTAAAGCGGAGTTCTGGCCCCCGCCACCTCCCCAAAAAAAAAGTTAAAAGTCAGCAGCTACAAATACTGTGGCTGCTTACTTTTAATAGTAAAGCACTTGCCCATATGGATGAAAAATATATTTGACACATATTTTAAAAATATTCTTCCCAAATATATTGACATATATTTGAAATACTACAATTTTGGCCATATTCAATATATTTCAATTAAAAAAAAAAAAAAAATATATATATATATATATACTGTATGTTGAAATGCGTTTTTCTTACAAAATACATGAAAAATATTTTTAAGAATATATTTTCAAATATAATGCATGTCTTTTAAAAATACATTTAATCTACATTTTTGGAATGCATTTACAAATACTATATATGTAAAAATATATGTTAAAATGTACTTTTTTATGTGTTAAAAAAAATCAGAAAAATATATTTAAAAAAAAATTATTTTGAAAAATATTTTTCATCATATATTTTGTAATATATAAAAAATGCATTTCAGTGTCTGTTTGTGTGTGTGTGTGTGTGTGTGTGTGTGTATATATATATATGTGTGTGTGTGTGTGTGTGTGTGTGTGTGTGTATATATATATATATGTGTGTGTGTGTGTGTGTGTGTATATATATATATATATACACAGTGGGGATCAAAAGTTTGGGCACCCCAGCTAAAAATCTGTATTAAAGTGCATAAAGAAGCAAAGGAAAGATGGAAAAATTTCCAAAAGGCATCAAATTACAGATTTCTAGACAATTCTAGACAACTGCTTAGAAGAACCAATGGTGCTGATTGTTGGGGCAAGGTCAGATGAGTCTGGGCATTTAAAACCTTTCAGATTGACATCATCTGGTCTTCCCAGACGATGATTGAGAACAATCCATGACACTGGCAGGTC